CTATTTTAGGCGAGGTGGAGGGTGGTTCTATCTCCCTCATACTGACGGCTGTTAGTCCGGCGGCCATCTTAGGGGGGATAAGCACTGTCAGCTGCCTGCTCCAGCTACCAACTGCAAGCAACAGGAAACCCTTATCACATCCTGCCCCTTCACTCAGTGGGACCAAGTCAGGTTTGTACCTAACACCTGGGGTTGGTTTAAGCCAGTTGGACTGTACCTTATTCTGGCCGGGGTGAGCCCCCATTTTGTGCTGCTAAGCGGACCTGTTCATGCAGGATTCCGATTACCTGGGTGAGCCCCAGTGACACAGCCCTCTCATTATCATTACTACGATCTACCGGTCCCTACCCTCTCCGGTTAACCATTACCGATAACATACCACCCCTGGTCCCCAGGCCTCTCCACTAATTGTGCCTAAAGTACCCTCACGCAAATCTATCGGGTGAGCCCCGAATACCCTTTCGAAATCATGGAGGAATCTCAAACCTCCTCAGACCTCCAGGCCATGATCACAGCAGCTGTGGCCGCAGCCATGGAAAAGGCCTCTTCTAAGTCGCTCCCGGCAGACCTAGACACCCCTAAACCCATCTCTAAACGGGTTCACTATAGAGCGGACTCTGACTCCTCCAGGGAATGCTCCCATCGGCCTAAGTGCCATTGGAAGGGCGAGGTCGCTGCGCCACGCAAATCTAAGGGTAAAGCCCCTGCGAAACGCAGGAAAGCCATGGCTTGTACTGCCCACGACCCCATACAGAACTCCTCAGGTGAGGAAGACGCAGAACCCACACACGCTCTAGCTGTGCTAGACGAATGGCAGGCGGCGGTCTCCGACCAGGAGGACTCCGGTGAAGACTCCGCAGCCAACTCTGACCCTTATTTCACAAGGGAACAGTTTCTGGGTGAGCCCCAGGACTCCATGGACTCCATGGCTACTCCCATGGATAACCCACAGGAGGGCACAGAGATTTTCCTTGAAAATTCGAGCCTCCAAATGTTTGACCCGAGAAATATCCGTCATCCCCGTTCGGAAGAATGGTCTCCACCCGAACATTTGACAAAGTTTATGCACTTTTGGCTCAGGAAATCTCTGGACAAAGAAGTAAGGAAACGCATGAGATCAGATTGCCCCCGGCCAAGGTGGCGCACACCCCCGAATTTGACCCGCTCATAACAACTTTTATGTCCCGAGGGGGTCGGGACTCGCGCAGAGGCATAGAGTGCGGTTTCAAAGGAGCGCAGGACAAACTGCTAGACGCCATTGGGCCGCTAGCTAGGATTATGGACATGGCGGATGACGCCTATGAGAGGGCTGATGATTTCACCCCAGATACGGTGCATGAGTGGGCACGACACACCCGTGAATGGGCACAGAGGTGTTTCTGTTTCCTAGGAAACACCAACGTAGCCCTCTCTTCGGAGAGGCGCCGAGCAGCACTTTACTGTATCGACGAAAAACTTGTCGAACTGGGGGACAAAGAATTAGGCCCTTTGGCACAGGGCAAATTGTTTGGAGAGGCCTTCCTCAAAGAATTGAACAAAAGGGTCAACATATTCATGTACCTTAACAAGGCTCAAACTTCGATGCGGAATGTTTTCCGCGGTTCTCACACCCGAGGTGTTTTTGGGAGGGCTGGACGGCAGAGGGGCCGTACCGCTAGCCGTTTTTGGCCATCCGGCCCCCGTACAACAAGGAGTCAACCTTTCTACCCAGACTCGTCTACACGACATAGATTCCACCAATTCCGGGGATCAGACCGTGGCCGAGGCAGCCGAGGACGCTCCCGGGCAAGATTCTCCAACGGTAAGTCAACATTCTATCTTGCCTCTAACCTCCTGCCATATCGCAGGTCGTGTTTCTCTTTTTTTCCAGAACTGGCTAGACCTATCTTCAGACACGTGGATCCTCCAAACGGTGCGGGACTATCAAATAGAGTTTGATTCAACCCTGCTCCAGAAGGTACCTCCACGTCCGATCCAGACTACACGTGCAGATGCCTGTCTCATAGACTCGGAACTACGCGAACTTCATTTCAAGGGTGCCATCCAACCAGCTCTGGACTTAACAGGCTTCTACAACAACATTTTCTTAGTCAGAAAGAAAACCGGCGAATTCCGCCCCGTTATCAACCTCAGGGAGCTCAATTCTCACGTGGTATACCGATATTTCAAAATGGAAGGTATCCACCTTCTACGAGATTTACTTCGACGCAACAACTGGTTCACCCGCCTGGACCTCAGGGATGCGTACCTTACCATTCCGGTACACAGAAACAGCCGTCCCTACCTCCGTTTCTTCTGGCACGGGACACCCTGGCAATTCACCTGCCTCCCGTTTGGCCTCAATTCAGCACCGTGGTGCTTCACCAAGATTATGAAGCCAGTGGTGGCAAAACTCAGAGCTCGAGGCATAAGATGCATCATCTACCTCGACGACATCCTGATCTTCGACGAGGATGCAAGGACCCTGAGGACACACACGAACTACACAGTACACCTACTCGAGTCTCTAGGTTTCATTGTCAATCATCCCATGTCCGAATTAATCCCGGCTCAGTCAATTCAATTCTTCGGATTTGTAATAGACTCCACATCATGCACTCTTCACCTCCCGGTCACAAAAATTACAGCCATCCGCAGAGAGATCCGGAAAGTCCTTACCCCTGTGACTACTGGCACGGATCGTAGGCCTCCTCTCCGTATCCATCCAGGCCATTTTCCCCGGACCCCTGCATTACAGGGCCATGCAGCACCTCAAGGCAACATTCCTTCGCAGGAAGCCTACATACGACCAACCGGTTCCAATGTCAGATGAAGTTCTGGAGGAACTACGCTGGTGGCTGAACCGCATGCAGGCTTGGAACGGCAGGGCCATATTCGGGAACCAGCCAGACTTCGTACTGGAGTCAGATGCCAGCCGTTTAGGTTGGGGAGCAACGGATGGAACTTCCTCCACAGGAGGAGTATGGACTGCCGAAGAGTTATCAATGCACATCAATTGCCGGGTCATTCGCCATTCACAGTCTGGCAAAGGAACGATCCAACTGTTGTATCCTGCTCCGCATGGACAACGTCTCAGTGGTAAGATACATCAACCGCCTTAGAGGCACTCGTTCTCAAGCACTGGTGGATCTCACGAAAGATCCACCAGTCTTCGATTACTGCCTGCCACGCAACATCACCCTGCTGGCAGAGCATTTACCAGGAGACTCCAACACGACGACGGATTGGTATTCACGCCACTGGCGGGACGCCAGCGATTGGCAACTAGACCCTCATATTTTCACAATACTGGATGCACAGAGGGGACCTCTCTCCCTAGACCTATTTGCATCCCGCAACAACCGACAGACGAAGGATTTCTTCAGCTGGCTCCCAGACCCGGAGAGCCTTGCAACGGACGCTTTCCTACAACAATGGCCTCGGTTCGGTGCTTACGCATTCCCACCTTTCGCAATGATAACGAGAGTCCTTCACCGGATCCGCCTGCAGAGAGTGAGGATAATCCTCATCATGCCTCTTTGGCAGAGCCAGCCATGGTTCCCGGACCTTCTGGAACTGTCAATCAAGGATCCCCTCCTCCTACCGGATGCTCCAACTATCCTCACGAACCCGTTGGGTCTACCTCACCCACTGGTCATGCAGGAACGCCTGTCCCTTGTGGCCTGCACTCTTTCCGGGATTCCTGGCGAACCAAGGACTTATCGCAGGAAGCTAGGGACCTCCTTTGGGATTCATGGGCACCAGGAACAAGGAGGTGCTATTTATCAGCATGGCACTCCTGGGCCAGTTGGTGTATGGGACGGGACCTCAATCCCTTTACTGCACCTACTCACTCCATCATGAATTTCCTGACCTTTCTGTTCACTGCCGGGAAGTCATACTGGTCCATCAACGTGGTACGATCAGCCATCTCAGCGGCCCATACTCCGTCCCAGGGGTCTCCGGTTGGTCAGGATCCACTCATCTGCAGACTCCTCTGCAGCATGCGCCTTCGGCGCCCCCCGGAGCCCAAATACTCTAGACTTTGGGACGTTGGCGTGGTCCTACAATTCTTACGAAATTGGCCTCCTAACAAGGACCTGTCACTCCGCCAACTTACCGCAAAATTCACCTTCCTGCTCTGTCTAGTCTCCTTCCGACGGGTATCCGACATACGCGCTTTTGACGCCGATGCTTTTACCTTCTGCCCGGCGGGGGTTACCTTTCAGATCTCACGACGCACTAAGTCCAACTCTCACTCGGTCTTCTACCCTTTCTTCCCTTCGGACCCTCAGCTCTGTGTGGTCTCTACTCTCCGTCAATATGTGGAAGCCACCACGATGTTGCAGCAACCTTCCACAAGTCAACTTATCATCTCTTACGTCCGCCCCTACGGTCCAGTTTCGGTTACTACGCTGGCCAGATGGGTTAGATGGCTAATATCCCTTGCCGGTATTGACCAAACTTTTGGAGCACATTCCGTACGCGGGGCAGCGGCCTCTTCCGCGTATGTGGCAGGCGCTTCCCTTTCGGACATCTTACAAGCGGCGGACTGGACCAGAGAATCCACCTTTAGGACGTTCTACTTCCGTCCTCTTGATAATCCAGCTTTTTCTCTGCTCTCCCAGCGTTAAAATTGCAAAATACGAAGCCTCCTGTCATGTGATAAAATTGAAGATTATGATAGCTTTAGGGTACAGATACTCTTCATTTTAATAATGATAGGAGGCGAGTATTTTCCCTCCCTGTTCTCTTTCGATACTTCCCTCCCTCTGTTTTCACGCATATTTCCTACTCTTTGCTTCTGCTATTATTGTACTGATGCCTAAATTGTGGCTTTCTCATACATTTGATACAGATATGCCAGATGGGTGGGATGTTTTTAGTTAGCTCCGATAGACGGGAGGAATGTATTCATTCTGTTTTTATAAGGGTAATTTTAAATTTATCGTAAGGGATAGACGTCTCATTGCTTTTACTCAACCATTTTTTGGAATCTAATCCCTTTCATATTCTCGTTTCAGTTTAACCAGATACCTCAAGGAACTAAAGACTACATTCAAGGTGTCATCGTCATCCTGTCATGGGAGATCACCAATTGACATCAAGAAGTTTCCACTGGAGTCTACCTGTTTACGTTCAGTTTACACGTTCCGCCATTATTTTACCATGGACCTTTCGAGTTACCTTTGTTATTTTTCTGCTTTATGTTCTTGTGATGTCGCATGCTTTTAGAGGAAATTGTGTCATCTATACTCTATACTGCATTGTGATTGGTTCTCAGTTTTGTCAATCTTTTCTTTGCTGCTATGGAGTTAGTAAAGAAAGATTATGCAAAATACTCGCCTCCTGTCATTATTAAAATTAAGATTATCTGTACACTAAAGCTATCATAATCTTCAATTATACGGTAAGCATACTTGCATGCAGACACAGACAATCTTACTAACACAAGCACACTAGCTCATTGACACACAGGCTCGCAGACAGACAGACAATCTCATTGATACACATAAGCTCCTTGACATAAAAACACAAGCTCACTGATACACACAAATAGGCTCACTGACAGAAATCTCACTGACACATACAGACAAGGTTACTGGTAGACACACACAAACTTAGTACAAATTCTAACACTCAAACAAGGTTACTACAAACACAAACTTACTATAGATAAGCTTACTGTCACACACACACACTCAATACAGACAAGCTCACTGACACACACATGGTCACTACAGGCAAGCTCACTGACACACATACACATGTTTACTACAGACACGCTAACTGACACATGCTCACTATAGACTACCTCACTGACACACACATGCTTACTACAGAAAAGCTCACTGACACACACATGGTCACAACAAACTCACTGAGACACGGAGATGATCACTATAGAAAAGGTCACCGACACACACAAGCTCACTTACAGACAAGCTCAATGACAAATATTTACATGCTCACTACAGTCACACTCAGTGACACACACATGTTCACTACAGAACACCTAGCTAATACACACAAGCTTGCTTACACATAAGCTCACTGACACACACACAAGCTTATTGACACACATACACATACTACAGATAAGCTTACTGACACACACATGCTCACTACTGACAAGCTCACTGACACATACACGCTCACTACAAACTTACTGACACACACACATGCTCACTTACAGACAAGCTCACTATCACATACACAAGCTCACTTACAGACAAGCTCAATGACAAGTATTTACATGCTTACTACAGACACGCTCACTGACACACACATGCTTGCTTACACATAAGCTTACTGACACACACACAAGCTTACGGACACACACAAGCTAACAAGCTCACCGACACATATACACATGCTCACTACAGACATGCTTACTGACACACATATGCTCACTATAGAAAAGCTAGATGACACATACAAGCTTGCTTACACATAAAGTGCCCTGTGACATGGGGAGAGGATACTCCTTACTACTATTCAGTTACACAGGGTCAGAATGAATCTCCAGGGTTGGTCAGTCATCTCCTGTGTCTGGATCCTGCTTCACAACTGGATCACTGGATCAAGGTGCAACTAGCAGCACACAATGGATTCGTTCAGCTCCACAGCTCTGTCACTGGATTAGGGTGCAGCTTGCAGCTCACACTGGATTCACTCAGTTCCACAGCTCTGTCACTGGATCAAGGTGCAGCTTGCAGCTCACACTGGATTCACTCAGTTCTACAGCTCTGTCACTGGATCAAGGTGCAGCTTGCAGCTCACACTGGATTCACTCAGTTCCACAGCTCTGTCACTGGATCAAGGTGCAGCTGGCAGCTCTCACTGGATTCACTCAGTTCCACAGCTCTGTCACTGGATCAAGGTGCAGCTGGCAGCTCTCACTAGATTCACTCAGTTCCACAGCTCTGTCACTGGATCAAGGTGCAGCTGGCAGCTCTCACTGGATTCACTCAGTTCCACAGCTCTGTCACTGGATCAAGGTGGAACTGGCAGCACACACTGGATTCACTCAGTTCCATAGCTCTGTCAGTGGATCAAGGTGCAGCTTGCAGCTTACACTGGATTCACTCAGTTCCATAGCTCTGTCACTGGATCAAGGTGCAGCTCACAATGGATTCACTCAGTTCCACAGCTCTGTCACTGGATCAAGGTGCAGCTTGTAGCTCTCACTGGAGTCACTCAGTTACATAGCTCTGTCATTGGATCTGGGTGCAGCTTGCAGCTCACACTGGATTCACTCAGTTCCATAGCTCTGTCACTGGATCAAGGTGGAACTGGCAGCACACACTGGAGTCACTCAGTTCCATAGCTCTGTCACTGGATCAAGGTGCAACTGGCAGCACACACTGGATTCACTCAGTTCCATAGCTCTATCACTGGATCAATGATATAGCTGGCTGTGGATCTGCCAGCAGGGGGACTGTCTAAAATGTCAGACAGTCCCCCTGCTGGTGGGAAGTATTAAAAAAAGATTAGAAGTGTAAAATTAAATTATAAATGTATTTATATATATACTATATATATAATATATATACATATTATATATATGTAACGTCATACAAAGTGTATTTTAATATTAATATAAGTACATATATTAGTATTAAAATACACTTAGAATGACGTTACATATATATAATATGTATATATATTATATATATAATAGATATATACACATATATTATATATATATATATGTAAAATTACAATAATAAATAAATAAAATAATAAAATAAATAAATAAAATATTGAAACAAAATTTAATATAAATTATATATTCATATGTAATTTCATTCTAACTGTATTTTGTTATTAATATATATATAGGTAAGAAAATACACTTAGAATGACATTCTATATATATCTATCTATATATAAAATACAAATAACCGCAAAAATATATATATATAAATACATATAATTACATAAAAGATTACATTAGTATACACATAGAATTTAAATACCTATAAATGCATATATATTAAAATTCTACATGTATATTTAAGTAATCTTTTAACATAATTATGTGATTTGATTAATTAAAATTTGATTGACATGCCTGACAACACAGGGAGAAAGTGCAGAGAATTTAATTCGCAAGCACTATATTTGACCCTGTAACTCTCCAAGACACCATAAAACCTGTACATAGGAGGTACTGTTTTACTCGGGAGACTTTGCTGAACTCAAATATTAGTGTTTAAAACTGGTAAATTGTATTACAACGATGATATTTTAAGTAAAAGTGACGTTTTTTGCATTTTTAACAAACGAACGGCACTTTTATGGACTATATTATTGTTGTAATATGTTTTACTGTTTTAAAACACTAATATTTGTGTTTAGTGAAGTCTTGGAAAGTTAGAGAGTCACATATAAGGCTTGCATTTCATTTTTTTGACATTGAAATTTGCCAGATTGGTTATGTTGCCTTTTAGAGGGTATGGTAGCCCAGGAATGAGAATTACCCCCATGATGGCATACCATTTTCAAAAGTAGATAACCCAAGTTATTGCAAGTGGGGTATGTCCAGTCTTTCTTAGTAGCCACTTAGTCACAAACACTGGCCAAATATTAGTTTTTTGCTTTTTTCACACAAAAAGATATATGAACGCTAACTTTGGCCAGTGTTTGTGACTAAGTGGCTACTAAAAAAGACTAAACATACCCCACTTTCAATAACTTGGGTTGTCTACTTTTTCAGATGGTATGCCATTATGGGGGTAATTCTCATTCCTGGGCTACCACACTGTCTCAAAGGTAACATTACTAATCTGGCAAATTTCAATTTGAAAATGGAATGTTCTATATTTGACCCTGTAACTTTCCTAAACACCATAAAATCTGTTAATGGGGGTACTGTTGTACTCGTGAAACATCGCTGATTACAAATATGTGCTAACAGTATTATGACATTCACAGCTAAAATGTCAGACGGAAATACAAATTTAAAAACAAATCTTATTTTCTCACATTTTTTTAAATTTCATTCATAATAAATTATGTTCCATATATGAATAGTTAATGATAAATTAAAGCCCTGTTTCTCCTGAACAAAATGATATATAATAAGTGTGGATCACTTAATGTGACAGCGGTGAATTACGGTTGAACAGACATATAGCGCAAATTCTAGTTTTTGTTTACGTTTTGTTTTGATCAGAACGTGCACTATTGACTCCGCCTGAAGGGGTTAAAGGGACACTCCACTGACCAAATACAAAATAAATATAAATCACTGTTATGTAAATATACCCAAAATGAAAACTTGCATGCATTTAATGAGGTATATTTTAATAAAAAAACAGCTTGCAAAACCTGCAGTTCTCTTGTCTGCTGCCTTTGAAAGTTCTCCCCATCTAAGCCCGCCCAGACTTTCTGTGGCTGTCCAATCACAGACTTCCCAATGCAGCTCAATGAGAAGTCTTTGTAAGTCAGGTGCTCTGGGCAACTGCTGCCTCTTGTGGTCACCTGCATTGAACTAACAAAACCAGGAAGTAACATTACCTGTTTTCTGCTTGAAAGCCAAGGGGGTGTAACCAGGTTAATTTATAAAAATTTCTATTGAAATCTGCACTTTTTGCAGTATGAAAGAAGAGGACATACTCTTCACTCATAAAGCTTTACAGCATGCTAAAGTCGTTTAGGGGTCTGGAATGACCCATTAACTGCAGTAGCATGTCCTCCCCGTGTCGCACATGGTTCTGGAGAGTTTCAATTCAGGGATCCTTATTTTCCGGGGACACAGCAGGAAAAGTGTGAGGGACTACAATTAATGTATACATTTATACAGGGAAATGTAATTTGGGATGAGTTCTATATTGATTTTTGTGCTTCGAAAAATATGTTAACTGTGTATGTGTATATGAATAATAGTGCAGGTAATATGTGCACCATTTGTAGTAAATAAATATAGTCTATGTCTGTAAAAAATGGTATTTAAGCAAACCAACACCAGGTGCAATATCTTTTATATGAATGAGAGGACTGGCAAGGGGGAGGTGAGGAGCAATTACCATCTGGAACACTAATATAAGAGAGCTAACAAGAGGATACAGCTTAACTCTGTTCTTGTGTGGATTAACATATGTTAGCAGGACGTACACTTCTGCAGGGGTGAGGTAGCCAGCAGGAATTGCTCAGGAGCTTTGTTGTTGCCTGCAGTCACAATGGTATCCAAGCCTGGACTGATTCACTGAGATATTTTAGAGTGGATTGCAGTAACAGGCTTCCA